CCCGCCCTGGGCTCACTATGGATAATGTTGTCAGCTCATTCGGGAGGGGCATCTCCCGCGCTGCCCGCGGCGTCCGCAAAAAGGTTCAGGGTTCCCAAGATGATCAGCAACCATCTCAGTCATCCGCGGCTTCATCGGCCCCATCCTTAACCGCTTCGTCCACCACCGCCGAGGACACTCCCGTACCCGCTCACGCTCCCGCACCGACCACTGAACCCGATCTTGAAGCTCAACTTCCGGCTCACACGGCCTCTCAATCTCACTACACGGCTCTGCCGCTCACATCACCACTGCCACCTTTCACACCGACTATTAACTCACCGGAGCCGGCCTCACCGTCGCCCCCTCACTCCGCTCATGAGCATCACGCTCATACGCTTCCAACCCTGGCACTGGGCCCATCAGCCCAACCCCCCACTCAAGATGACGCAACCCTCCAGGCTCTTACCGGCGCTCACCCCGCCGAGTCCTCGAATGCCCAGACCTTGACGAACAACATCACAACTCAAACACTCACCGTCCCGGGGCCGCAGTCTCAACCCGTATCGCCACTGTCACCTCCGCCCACCATAGTCCACTCACCCAGCGCACCTTTGTCTTCTCCCATATTTACTCCCTCAGCTATATCCTTCGCGCCTCAGGTCCACCCCAACTCACCAGCGCCCCAACCTCTCAACCTCTCAGCCGCAGCCTCACCAGCTCAGTACCTGCCCTCACCCCTCGAGTCACCTCTACCCCTCGAACTCGAGCAACAACTGTCCTGTAAAGATGGCGGCTCAATACGACCTACCAGCGCCCGAAGCGCCCGGCCTCGCACATCCCGCTCACGCCGAGACTCAGTCATTGAAAAGGTCGCCTCGCTCGATCCACGACGACGCTCTCGTATTCTAGGCCCCAAGACAGGTAACAGTCTTATGGATCTCCCGCCTGAGCTGCATCTTATGATCATCGACTACCTCGAGTTCGGCGAGCTCGAGAATCTGCGCCGCACGTGCCGCTTCTACCGTAACTTTCTCACAAAGGAGACCATTCGCGACCTTTTTGGCGAGCAGTTCCGCCTCGCTCTACTGGCACATTGCTACATCTGCCTAAAGTACGATCCCACACGCGGCAGCTTGCTCTGGGCAGACTATAACCATCCGCGGTATCCTCTTGCTAGTAAATGTGTCGACTGCGCGTATCAGAAGAATGAGCTGGCGGTAGGCAAGAAGGTGGCACTAGGCAATTACGCGAGTGTATGGATCTGTCGATGGTGCGGGTATCCCGTCGCCACTGCTTCGGCGCCCAACCAGCCCGAGTTCCACAAGGGCTGCTATAATCATTACAACAACGTCCTGCTGGTGTATTTCGTCTTGGGCTGGATTCAGCTGAGTCTCGGTATCGTCGCCGGTGCGCTTTGCTGGAGGTACTTTAGAGACGAGATCCTCGTCTTGGTGCCGTCTATTGTAAGTTCATGAAAATCGCTCTCGTAAGTCTCGAAAATAGTTGTCTAACCTCGACAGGTCGCGTTCGTCTTGCTGTGGTGGTGTCTGGCTCTCCTCGTGGTCAGAGGCGAACACAAGCGCACGTACCACTTTTCGTTGATCCTTGAGACAGCGATACTCGGTCTTTGGTGTTTGCCAATCTACGTCCTCGTCAAAGATGTGGAAGACGGCATAGCTGGATTATTTGACAGACGGGTTACAGTGACCCTGGTTTTTATCGTGTTGAACATGTAAGTTCGGTTATTATTTCACTATTTTATAAGGAGCTAACAGGTAAAAAGGTTCTTCCGCCTCCTTAATGTTTTGGGCAACATCGTTCTCACACTCGAATGGCGACACTTTGCGCGCAAGAAGCCCCGACTCACGCCCGCAGCCCGATTCTTCAACATGATTCTCGCCGGGCTCGTATACTGGACATACCCTCAAGCCGTGGAACAGGAGTACCCGCCGCAATATCACTTCATCAACACCGGTCGACGACGAGTCAAGAGGATTCTCGCTGAGAGAAACGCACAGCGGCAGCGACAACAGCAGCAGCAAATTATGACGATGATGTATTAAACGCTATTAAGAACGACACAACACATATGGCGCAAAGACGTCAAGCAACGACCCGCAAATCCGGAGTTTGGTAATGAAAGAGGATCCGTCAGAGCGATGACTGTTTTATTGATTGCAAGCGTAATGGATGCGACTGGCGTGAAATTGGGATCACATGGTCTTTTATTTTGGGCAGATTTACCACGGCGAATACCTTGGCGTGCAGAGTGTATGATTGCAGGCGATACCTGCCCAAAAGCCTGTTGGGTCTCACAGTACGACATGGCGCTGGTAATGACCATGGCAATCAGTTTTGATGAAGTTTTGATGCTTACCAAGTTGAACCTGGAAGATGTTTGAAGGGTTCATGAAGAAAAGAGAAGAGGGCTGATTAGAGACTTGAGTAGTAGTAAAATGGAAGAACCCATCTCTACGATATTCTTGCCAATTCATCGCAAATAACCTTCCGTGATGTGGGCCATCAGGTTTCAATCATTAAACCTGAATGAAAATGAACAATAAGCGGCGTTCCCAAACGTGCCTGCATGCTTACCTTACCTGAATGAGTGCCGCCTGCATATGCAGACCGGTACCGGCTCACCTCAGCCTCGAAAAGAAAGCAATTGTGTAAAGCCCAATCTGCAGATGCCTGAGCGTCAAATTCTCACAGCTGAGCTCTTTCGTAAGCTTGCCCTAAACATCTCCTGATGTGAGATACCTGGCGTTCGATCTATCATGTTGCCCAGTGCAAAGATGTCACCACGAGCCGTTGTCATTGATAGCGGGTAAGTGCTGCCTGGTCAATGAAGGCGTGGTTCTGGATGAGTGATTGAGGCTCTGATCGTTTACCAGGTCCGGGTTCACCAAGGCTGGGTTCGGCGGCGACCGGCAGCCTCTCAGAGTATTCCGTGACTAAAGACAAAGTCCCCAACTGTAACTGTTCTCAGCCGTCTGACTACAACCTAGCAACTGCAATCCAATATCCTACTAGGACGAAAGAGAACAGGAACACTGATGTCTGGATGGTTAGTCGGCATGATATCTCCGCAACCTGTGCAGGTTCCTCGAGGCGCAAGACTTATTGACCATATCACAGACCACTTACAACGTCGGCCATGCCGTTGACCCGAATTATGAAGGCCTCAACCAACCTCTATACCCGATCAGAGCAGGTGGCGTGATCACGAACTGGCAAGACGCAGATAGGATATGGAACTATGCTTTAGCAGAGTTGGGAGCCTCCATACCGCTTTCCCATCATCCAATCATCATGACAGAACCACTCCATCTCTCTCCAAGCCAGCGGTAAGTCCCAGACGTTTTTTCGAGACTGCAAAGAGCCTAATTGTGCACAAACTAGGATGACCATGGTATCCCACGTCTTCGAATATTTCTCCGCGCCGGCGTACTACACGGCCTCGCCGGCTCTGCTGTCAACTTACGCGGCCAACCTACCCATCGCTCTCGTCATCGACTCGGGCTACGCGGGGACTTCTACTCTACCAGTATACGACCACGCGCCTATCCGGAACCACGCCCGTAGGCACGATGTTGCAGGACAAGCGATAGACGACTGGTTGCAGCAAGCTCTCACGAATGAAGTCGGTCTAGAGCTTCCGTCAAACGGGGCTTGGGATGACGTTCTGTGGTTGGCCAAGACTGAACGGTGCCGCGTCGCAAAGGACTTTGAGGAGGGTGTCATGCGGTGGAAGAATATGGTGGATGACAGAGGGGGGGAAGAGATCTGGGATCTGCCTGACGGGATGAAAGTCAAGCTTGACACCCCGCTGGGTTTGCGTGCGGGCGAGGTGTCGTTCAACCCTTCCATGTTGGGGCTTGATGTTGGTGGGCTGCAGCATGATGCCTTTAATGTTATTATGAAGTGTGCACAGAGTCTTCGTGAAAGTCTCTGTCAAAATATCCTGCTTGTGAGTACTTGTCTTTGTTTTGCTTTCGCTGAGTCGCCGTGTTGCTGACGACGGTATAGGCTGGAGGAAACACCATGTTTCCTGGGTTCGGCGCCAGGTTGAAGTGCGAACTGGAGCGTTTATTCGCAGAGGGTACTACTATCAATGTCATCTCTCCTCGGAATAGGGCGTATTCCGCTTGGGTTGGGGGATCCATCATGAGCGAACTTTCGACGTTTGAAAGGATGTGTGTTATGAGGGCCGAGTACGAAGAGGTAGGGCCCGAGATAGCAAACAAGAAGTTTCTTTGATAGTGCGGTGGTCAGTGAGTAGGACCACGCTCTCTATTATGGATGTATTGACGATTTGATTAGAAAGTATGATAAGATGAAAGAAGTTATACTCTCTTTCGACAGTGCCTTATTGTAGACTTACATTAACAGCTGGTACCGGCTGCAGGATGAGGACTCACTCCTCCAGAGTCGAGAGACGAGAACATGGTGGTGTGGATACCGGATGAGAGCCGAGCTCCAGTGTCAGATCTTCCCGGTGTTTTATGGGGCCGGTCATCCGATCGAGTCCAGGCGGGGCCTGAGCTTGAGCCTTGAAGGGAGCACTGAGCTCATGAGGTCAAACGTTGCACGTGAGACTCCAGGCCGGATGAAGCACCAGCCACATCACGTGGGTAGAAGCGCCACAGGCTGTCACTAGCCTCGTGCGGGACGCTTTCTCGGTCTGCGTTTTGCGTCGACATCAAAGGCCAACATCGGCAACGATCATATCAAGATGACAACACTCACCTCCACGGCTCGAGACAGGCTGCATTTGGGCTCAGGCTGATCTGAAGGCCACTCCTCATTCTTCTCTGAGCTTTGCTTGACCATCCCGCTGTAGTGCAGCGAGCTTGGCCAAAGCCTGCTGCTGGCATCCGTCGCAGAGCCTCACTTGGAGGTAAGCTCAAGGTATGTGCTTCTTTGCCGCCACGGCGTGTCCTGGATCCCAGGTGATTTGCTCGAGCTGAGCAGGTCCTTCTCCTTACTCTTGTCTCATTTCTGGCTTTCTGACGGTTCTACCATGGCGAGTGCCATGTACTTACGTCTTGGGCGGCAGGCTCTCTTGCCTCGCTCACCAGACTCACAGCCCGCCCGGGCCAAGCAAGCACCTCAAGGTTCCCGGCTCCTTCGATGCGGCTCGGGTAATCTTCGGCAGCCGTATGCAAGCTCTCCAGTCGCGCAACATTCCGGCAATAACATTTTGTCAACAATTTCTGGGCACTCGACGCTAGCGCCATAACACAGCCATCCACAACAGAGCTCCAACCGACGAATAGGAACGGACCATAGCTCACCAGCAAAACTCTGAGCAAGGAGGCAGCGTGGGCCGTGGCAGCACAGAGGTGCAGCGCAGAGCAGAGCAGAGCAGAGCAGCAGAGGTGCGCAGGTGGTCATACCTTTCCCTTGGAAGCAGCAGAAGCAGACACGCAGACACAGGCCGCGCCATGGACTTGCTCAGAAACGAAAAGCACCGCAAAGACAAGCAGCACCAGCACGCAGCAGCACCCGGCACACCCATCGACGGTCCCCCCCCCCCTCCTCGCACCTCCCACACCACACCGACCGCGATTTTCTTGCTCGCACCGAAGCTCCCTCGCTCCCATTCGCCCCCCTGTCCTCTTCTCCTGCCGTCACCGACGAACAACAACAATCACTGTCAGCCTTCGAACTAAATTTCTGCCATCTCCATCCACCTCCACCAAAGCTTCCCTCGACAACCCCTCCAACTACAACCCAACACCGAAACAGTCTTGTTCGATAACAGTCCTTTTTTCCAAACCTTGTACTCGACACGCGCATCCCCACTTTGATCGAATCATCGGATCCCAAACTCGACTTTCGAATTTATCAAACCTTTTTTTCGCGCCCTCGCATCAACATCAACAATGGCCGGCGGCAAGGGAAAGTCTGGCGGAAAGACGTCCGGAGGCAAGGCTACGGCCGAAGTCCCCAAGAAGCAGCAGAGCCACTCCGCTCGCGCTGGTCTCCAGGTAAGTTGCGCTATCCTGATGATGCGCCGGTTTTGCACGTCGATTTTTGGGCCCCGATATCGAGCATCGACCGACGACCACCCGATTCCGACGCGTTCGACCGCAACACAAGTCAGAACCGCCCTCCAACCATCATCTCGTGTCGCGCAGCATCTTCCACCTGCAACGTGAATCTGCGCGATCACTTTTCCGCCGTTGAAGCTGCACTGGATGATGGACGGAATGCGGTCGCGTGCACGATCTCGTTGGGCTTGAAAACGATGGCGCAACTCCCGGAACGCTCGCAGCAATGAAAATTTCTCAAGCTAGCGGTAGCAGCTTGCTAACACGGACTTTCCAGTTTCCCTGCGGTCGTGTCAAGCGTTTCCTCAAGGCCAACACCCAGAACAAGATGCGCGTCGGTGCCAAGGCTGCCGTCTATGTCACCGCCGTTCTCGAGTACCTTACTGCTGAAGTACTCGAGCTTGCAGGCGTAAGTTCCCATCCCTCCCGGCGCACTCCGTTGACTCATCGGGGTCTCTGCCTAAATCATTTACTGACGCGCGCCTCGTAGAACGCTGCCAAGGACCTCAAGGTCAAGCGTATCACTCCCCGCCATCTCCAGCTTGCCATTCGTGGTGACGAGGAACTTGACACCCTGATTCGTGCCACCATCGCCTTTGGTGGTGTTCTGCCACACATCAACCGCGCGCTCCTCCTCAAGGTTGAGCAGAAGAAGAAGGCCAAGGCGCTCGAGGCATAAATCCCGCGTCTTGCACAACAACGATAATAACGTTGATATTCTCGGTTGGCTTTTTTCTCAGGACGGTTATTTGGGAGTGGTTCGGTCTCAAGGGATGCTTTTTTCTGCTTTCCTTACAACATTGGTCAGAAACGACGATGATGCAGGTGTGCCAGAGGTTGAATAATCTTTTCACAATATCTGGAAACAAAGAAAGGAAGAGGCATGCAACGGTTCAGAGTTGCACGCGATTCTGTCCTCGACGTTCACGGGTACGGTGCTGAAAAAAATATGGCGCATGAGCCATAAGCGCCTTGATCTTCATGATTGCAGGGTACTCACTCTGGGTGCCTGCACTCTCAGAAACCCACGCAGATTCGCCTCGAGTCTGGCACTCACTCACAATGTACAACATTTCGAGGTTCCTGTTTCGGTTCCCAAGAAGGCACGCGCGGATAAGGCACTAGCTGATGGGCTTAGGTAGATGAATAAAACTGTAATGGGGGTACACATTTGATTTCTGTATACTGATGCCGTGCCTTTGTCCTAAGTGATCACAGATTAATGCAGGAAATCTATCTCTATGGTGTTCATGAATCGGGGCATCTATGGTGCGGCCTGATTACTTAGTTAATGGGATGCTGAAGCGAACGCGTCGTGCAGATGCCGGCTTGATTCGTGTCCCTCGTGCTGGGCACGTTCCCACCTGCCACTGCTCGACGTACTCCCACTTAGAAGGCCACAGCATGAGCCAAGGCGGCGAAGCCATCACCGAATCCCCCAACACGGCCCTCGCCATCATCATCGCCGAACGCTCCGCCCTCGCCCTGGTTACCGCCCTCGCCGCCCTGGGCTCACCGCGATTCCTCCGCTTCAGTTGCTGCGCCACGAGGTACCCATACTCCGCGTCTTCGGGACGCAGGCTGAGTAAGGCTTTACCTCTCATGTATAGGCGCGAGATGAAGAGCGGGCCGGTTTTGGGGGCGGGTTTGTTGGAGAAGAAGCGGCCGCAGTGGATGCAGCGGTTTGTGCAGGAGATGAGGTATCTTAGGCCGCAGTGGGTGCGCCAGCGCCATCTTGGGAGGGGGTTGAGGCGGAAGGGGACCGGTGGTGTTGATGTTGTTGCTGTTGGCGTTGATGGTTCCGTTGGGGACGAGGGTGATGAGGGTGACGAGGTTGACGAGGGCTCGGACAATGTGGATGACGATGATGGAGATGGAGACGTTGTGGCGATTTGCACAGCGATCTCGTCTGGCTCGGCTGGCGGTGGTGGTAGTGGCGAATCCGGGGGAGTTATCAATGATGGTCCACGATGGCTGGATTCGTTCACTTGGAGATGGTCGGCCATTCTACGCCCCTTTACCCCTTCACCTCCTCGGGAACGTCTGGCGATGGTTCGACCTCGTTGCTTGTCCAGATTCGGCTATGTGCAAACCATATAGCAAAATTGATCTAGATTTGGTAGAATGTGAGTGAGTGTATGTGTAGCTTGGTAGGTGGTATCTGGGGCTCTTACGAGTACGAGCGGGAGAATGAGCCACATCGTGAACGATATCTCGTTGGTATGGTAGGAACACAACGGATCTAAACAGCTAACCGTCCCCCGTTTTCATAATCATTTTGACCCTTTTTAAGAACGAGTCTTCAGAATCCGGCTGGTCCTTCCTGCCCGTATCATTTACCCACCATTTGGTCAGGCACATCATAACCCCCGTTTCACAAGACAAAGAATTATGTTTACCGCCCGCTCACCCACCTCCCGAGGTGTCATGAGATGTCGTGAAACAGAACATGAACTGTAGCTTGCTTTGTAAGAAGATGACTTTGGTCTAGAACCCCCCAACTCATACGGTTTGTAACGAATTCTACCTTCCCTCAGGAACGAGCGGTAGAACTGAACAACCAGACCACAAAAGAAGGCGTTCGAGTCCTGTTCGTAACGTTGGACGTCAGCAGTCAGGTAGCGGCGCGTCTTGTGTCGTCCTCACAGTAAGCGCCATGACATGAGACTCGGTATCGAATCAAACGCAGTATATTTGACAAGGCGCAAAATAGCATAGCTGCCTAGTGTGTGCGGCTCTCTCTCGGTACATCATCATCCTCTCTTCATCGAAATTATCTTTGTGCCCCATGACACATTACACGCAAATAGTTTGGCCAGTCCTTGCATCTGCCATCTCATCTCTCTCTCGTGTGTTGTTCTCTGCTGGAAAAAAATATCGACATTAGATCGTTCACTGATCTCTCGTCCTGTCATCCTGCCTCAGATGCTCGCAAATGCATGTAAATCCAACAAAAATAAGACGAATAAAAAAACACGGAAAACTCTAGCAGGTCCAAGACCACGAAATACGACCAATTGGCCCCCAATGCAGCCTCAACGCCAATGTCCCCGTCAAAGTCGTCCCGAAAGATCACCCATGATGGAACAGGAGTGTTCATTCTGTGGGCGACTCTCTGCAAGTTGACACAGAGAGCACTTTGCAGGATTGAGGGCCGGGGGACATGAATACTAAACAACACGAAAAAAAAAAAAAACCATCAGGAAATGCAGGCGCATAAATACGCCCAGAATCAAATCAAACTTTTTTTTTTTTCGTCGGTGAGCCCAATAAAGAGCTGGCATTGTTTTCTGAAGCCGACAAACTACCAATCTTGGCCGTCAAAAGAGAGTCCGAGGGCAACATCAGTCTTGGGTCGTGTCTTGATCAAAACTTGCCGAACCGTGGTAATTAGGTGGGTATAGTCATGGTCGCCGAAGGGCATGGTCTCGTCATCCAAAAAGAAGCGGCTTTTGTCGAGCATGCTGGTACAGCTATCTAGACATAAAAAGGTCGTAACAGCGTATTCATCGTCAAGGGTGGTTCATATGCTCCCGCGCGCCATGAAAGGAGGTATGGCGGGGAAACAGGAGGGTATAGGGGACCGCCCATGGGCCTTTTTTTGCCATGTCGAAATGGTTGCCCATATCAGGTATTTTCTTGTATCCAAGTTTCTTTTCCGTTCATCCTTCTCTGGTCGTTGAAACAGCCATGAGCCAAGGTTTCCTTGCCGGGCGGGTGCCGTGAATCCAAAATGGGATGCCGCCGCGACGCTGGGAAATCTTCTATCCACCAATTCCGAGACGGCCGAGCGAAAGATCATGACGCTGCCAAAGGCTCGTGTCCAACAAATCATCATTATAAGCAATATGGGTGTGGTTGTGGGGGAGAGTGTCCATCATGAAAAGCAATGGTAGGTATAACACAGGGGGGTTTGTCGATTACCGAGCTGCGGTGAGCTGCGGTGAACTCGTCGAATGTCGTTTGTAGTCTCTATGCGTCGCGAGTCATGAATCGTTTCCTCATTGTAATGGTTGTCGTGGCAGTCTCGGCGAGGTAAATTATGGTTCTTGTCTAGTGGAATCGAGATGCGCCGGCGCTTCCAGCACGGGGTGCGTTGTCGGAAGAGTCTGCCACGGGGTTAGTTTATTGGACTCACTATTCCAGTCTGAGCAAACGAATGAGAAAACTTACCGCTTCCACGT